CCCCCCCCCCCGACCCTCCTTTTGCCCCTCAGCCTGCCCTTGCTCACCCCGGACAAAGCTCTGTCCTGCTTGGGAAGTCAGAGGCCATACAGAGCTCGTGAAGCCGTCCCTGGCACGGCAGCAGCGGGATTAACCATGGAGAGTTCACAGAGAGTCGGTTACACTCCGAGCTGCTCTCTCGAGGTCTGCCGCACCGCGGACTTTGGGTTCGGTGTGGAACACTCACCGTGCACCCTCCCCCGCCTCGCCACGCCCTCAGCTCCTCCCTGGGGCGAGGGCTGATTCTCTTCCTGGGCAGGAGCTGAGAAGCCAGCGGGCCTCACTCACCATCAGAGGGGAAGGTGCTCCCAGGGACAGCAGGTCCTGCCCTGAGGTTCCAGGGGACGACTGTGGAGGCTCCTGCTGCCTGGGGAATAGAAGAGGGGAAAGGATTTAAAACTGCTCAGACACAAAGCCTGTATTGCAAAAATAGATAAAGAAAAGATACAAGGGCATTGGTCTTGCCTTTACAATACAAACTATATTCCTCGGTAAGCAAATGTTTGATGGGAGAGAGTTCTTGGTGTTCTTATCTGTAGACACACTCCGGCTGTGGGCGCTGTGGGTGCTGAAGAGCTGCCACAATCAAAACCCTCCATTTTGCAGGTGCTGGGGGGATAAGGTATCCAGTAATGTGTCCTCCGGCTGCTCCACGCCTCAGTGTGAAAGTGGCCAGGGAACTTTACCATGAAGAACCCGATTTCTCTGCCCAGCATCACAGTCTGGAGAGAGACCTGAGCAATACTCCCGCCTCTGACAGGAGGCATCAGAATCCAAACCTCATCTCTGGAAGCACCGGGCCTCTGGAGCAGCGGGGCCACCCCTGGGATGGCCTTGAACACGACAGGTACCCAGGTTCTGCAACAAACGCACCCTTACCAGAAGTAAAACAAAAAGAAACAAACCCCCCACACTAACCAATAAGCAGACCACCGACACTGAGGAAAGGAGGGCGGTCCACAGGGGAGGAAGCCGACCGGGTCGGAATACCATCGCCTGTGGGTTTTGTTTGGACCCATGAACTACTAAGACTATCTATTATTCATGAGATAATTTAGCTGCTACAAAACCGGAACTGGGCTGTATGGACGATTAAAGGGCTGGGGGTGATGTTTTGAAATGCGGTGGGTGATAGGATGGTGGTCACGACACAGTATTAGAGAAGTGATTTCTGGAAGAGACACATCGAATTATTTACAGCAAAAAACATACAATGTATGGGGTTTGCGTTAAGATTCTTTAATAGAAAGCGGGACCAGATTACACAGACTGGGGAGACTCTGAACACCTGTGTGTGGACGCGGGGAGTTCTTTCCACTCTGCTCACCTCTGCCAGGCTCTGGCCTCTTTTGGAGCCGCAGGGGTGCTCGGAGCAGACCCTGAACCCCGGGGAGGGTCAGCGTCCCTTCAGGGGAGGCTGCAAACGTCCGCTGGCGCCTTCTCAAAGAAGTGTGCCGAAGTGCCCAGCAGAGGGCGCAGGCGTGGTGCGCCAGGGCAGGCTCCCCTGTAAGCCTCCCAAAGTCACCCGAGCGAGTTTTACAAATGCTGTTTTCTCCCCATAGATTCCAAGAAAGAAAGAAATTTAGGACACTTCAGTGTCCAAGGGAAACACACTTCCGGCGCCTGCACCCCGGCCTCCTGTCACCTGCAGGGCCAACCGAGGGCTGAGCGGGAGCTGGGCCACGGAGGCCCAGGCCAAGGCAGGGCCGGGTGCAGGGACCCGGGCCGAGCTGCGGCAGGGTCAGGGTTAGGGCTGCGGGGCGAGGGAGGACGGCCTCCCTCCTGGCTGAACCCTGGCTCAGTGGCCCCGAGACTACGTTTTCCCGATGAACAGGCTCCCTGGAGGAGCGCTCCCGGGGGCAACTTTTCATTTTTGCAGGTTGCAGATGGAAATTATCAAACAGCAACACCAACGACAGAGCAGCAGCACGGGACACTGCCTGGCGCCAGTGCGCATGCCCAGTGCAGGGGGCGCGGTAGTCCAGAAGGTTCCAGAAGTTTCTGTCCTGCCGTCGCTGTTCTTCAACTTTCTGTCCTCGGGCATGTTCTGGGGTCCCCGGGTTTTCCTTTCCTGTAACATGAACTTTGCTGCAATCAAACAAGCAAAGAAGTGGTCGGGGTCCCCTCGTCGGCTGCTAGAGCACAGGCACGCCATTACCGAATGTTTTCCTAACAGCAACATTTCCATGTTGAGTCGCTGAGACCCCTTTGCGGTCTTAGGAAATGTTGAGGATCCCAGTGCACTTTGCTTTATGCAGACTATATGGATGGATGGATGGAGGTGTACCTGTACTGCGCTGGAAATGAGAGCTTATACTTTAAAAACACTTCTGTGTATTAACTCCTGTGCTATTCATAATCCCTTACGTTGTCGATGAGAATGCAAAAGCACGCAGCTTCTTTGGAAGCAATGTGGCAGCATCGTACACAGCAAAACACACTGATCACAGACCAGGCAATTCTGCTCCTAGGTATTTATTTATCCAAAAGAAACAAGGACAGAGAGAGAGAGAGAGAGAGAGAGAGAGAGAGAGAGAGAGAGAGGAGAGAGGAATTATTTGCATTTAGCATTATTCATAATAGTCCTCAGTGATAAGAACTCAAATCTCCATCAAACAGTGAGTAAACACGTTTTGGCATGTTGAAAGATACTTAACAACAAGAACAAAATGTTATATGTTTTATCCAAAAGAAACAAGGACAGAGAGAGAGAGAGAGAGAGAGAGAGAGAGAGAGGAATTATTTGCATTTAGCATTATTCATAATAGTCCTTAGTGATAAGAGCTCAAATCTCCATCAACCAGTGAGTAAATACGTTTTGGCATGTTAAAAGATACTTAACAACAAGAACAAAATGTTATATGTTTTATCCAAAAGAAACAAGGACAGAGAGAGAGAGAGAGAGAGAGAGAGGAATTATTTGCATTTAGCATTATTCATAATAGTCCTTAGTGATAAGAGCTCAAATCTCCATCAACCAGTGAGTAAATACGTTTTGGCATGTTAAAAGATACTTAACAACAAGAACAAAATGTTATATGTTTTATCCAAAAGAAACAAGGACAGAGAGAGAGAGAGAGAGAGAGAGAGGAATTATTTGCATTTAGCATTATTCATAATAGTCCTTAGTGATAAGAGCTCAAATCTCCATCAACCAGTGAGTAAATACGTTTTGGCATGTTAAAAGATACTTAACAACAAGAACAAAATGTTATATGTTTTAGGTGGCCGAATATGAAAACAATTATATCTCCAATATGGAGAGAATGCTTATATCTTAAAAGAATTCAAGAATAAAACAAATTTTAAAAATCAAGCAGAAGGTATAAACAGCATTCACGAAAAAAAATGCAAATGGCTCTTAATCAAATGAAAAATGCTCTACTTCATTTATAATGAAAGTTACTAATGAAAATTGCCACTTATCTAATTAAAAAACCTGAACGTTTGATTGCGGGCTCTGTCGACAATACAGAGAGGCATTTCAAGTGTTTCTGGTGAGCGCACAAGGCCCACGGGAGGGGGACCTGACAGAGGAAAATTCCACATGCACTCATTCCGACCCACTGATGTGACAACAGAAAGAGACACGGAAAATGAAATATATGTCCTTACATCATGCAAATGAAACTGTGAAAACAAGCAAAATCTAGTAAACTAGGTAACATGTGTAGAGGAATGGAATAGGTCGAGGAGAGAGACGATCCAAGGGTTCTCTGAATGTAATTTTCATATAGTTTTGACTTTGGAAGCATCTGTATGCTTTTTTGTAATTAAAAATCAAAATCAGAGCTGGGTGCAGTGGCACAGACCTGTAATCCCAGCTGTTCGGCAAGCCACGGCAGGGGAACTGCAAGAGGCAGGCCAGCCTGTGCAGCTTAGGGAGAACCTGTCCCAAAATAAAAATGAAAAGGGCTGGGGGTGTAGCTCAATGTGAGGTTCTGGGTTCATTCCCAGAACATAAACATACATAAGTAAACATAAATAAAGAAATAAATGGGAAAAATCCTTATAGTTTGAAAATGAAAGGAAATGTATAAGTCTAAGTGTTTTCAGATGCCAGTATTACCAACTGAAGAAAGGCATTGGTTCAGCTGACTCTGAAGCACAGTTTATACATTGTATATCCTGTACAGAACGTATTCTGAGGATAAACACACCTAAGAAATTTAAAGCTGCACTATTGTGGGCATGGTAATTTAAAAACTGTCATAAACATATTATAAGATAAAGCATATGCTTAATCATTCTGCTAACTTTGTATCGTGTGCTTAATTAGTTGTCAGGAGCCAAGATTTTAGAAAAAGAACTCATGGTCAGGTGTGATGGTGAACACTTGGATTCCCAGCACTCTAGGAAGCAGAGGCGTGGGAAACACAAGTTCGAGCCCAGCCTGAGCAATTTCATGAACTGGTGAGACCCTGTCTGAAAATTTTAATAAAGTTATAAAGGAATGAAGATGTAGCTCAGTATGAAGGCCCTGGGTTTAATCCCCAGTGCTGGGAAAGTAGGAAGGAAAGGAGGAAGGAGGAGAAATGAAAATATTTAAATGATGCCAAGTAACACCATATAATCTTAAATTTGAATTGAAAATATCAGGTTGAACTCATAATTTTTCTTTAAAAATTTTCTCTCCACTATAAAGGCTTAGAAAAGTACAACTCAGTAGTATTTAACAGTAAACACACTCCCAGGTACCAGACTGCACTCTCTAAGTACTATTCTCCATCTTATTGTTCTAAACAATTGCTAATAAAAGGAAAGAATAAAACAGTTACCCAGACTTTCCTGTACTGATTAAAATTCGCAGTAACCAAACAGGTGGTAAAAGAGAAATGCCAGCTAATAATAAATTCAATGTGTCTGACAGATTTTTTTTCAAATAACCCCTTTGGTCCCCCCCTAATAAAATAATGGATCCAGGCAAGGGTCATCAATGGACGCTAAATCCGCAGAGTGAAATATTAACAGGGACCGGTACGCGGCCCAGCCAAGCTGAGAATATGGAAACCAACACTTCAAGTTCAGGGAAATCAAAGTGAAGCAGTCATGTGTAGGCTGCCGGGTGTGATGCTCGCCCGTGAAAGATTCTTGCCTTATAAAGGGAAGTAGAACCGAATGAGCTTTGGGTCTCGATACCGGTTTATATAAATCGCAGAATAGATAAGAAAAATTTAATTTACAACGCAAAGAAGCAATCAAGCAAATCCAGAGCTGGAGTCCTGCTCACAGCTGGCCGGCCAGTCCCTCACGAGGGTAGATGAAACTCACGATGGGACAAAGGGAGGTGAGCAGCAGAAGGGACTGGGAACCCTGGCCTAAAGGAAAGTGCAAATGGCCCCAAAGAGACAAAGAAAAACAAGATACATCATGTAAAGGTGCAAGATCCCGGTGATGAATATAACTGTACTGTACACCTAAAAAGCACCAATAAACTCAATGAAACAAGAGAGAGACAAAGAGAGGCTTAGTTTGCTGAGAAGAGGAGAAATGCTGATCGAATGAGGAGACATGCCAGTCGCTTCTTAGTCGGTTTGCTGTGTCTCCAAAAGATGGACTCCGTTCTCGGTCAGCAAGGCTGTAAAATGAGCTTTCTCACCTCTCACTGGTGGGAAACGGGTACAGCACAACCCCTGTGAAGGGAAATCAGACGCTTTTAAAAGGAAAAGTGGTGTTATGGTTTGTGTCTAGCTGTCTCTTCAGTGCCTCATTCCATCATAGGTGGGGCTTTTTCAGAGGCGGCTGGATCTAGATCACGCGATGCTGGTATTAAGGGTGGGTGATTACTAAATAAGTCCTCTGATTGGTTGGCACTGCCCTAATCCTGGGAGCCTAGATAAAGTATAAAAGGGGCAGAAAGAAGCTGGTAGCATCCCTTGTTCGTGTCCTCTGTCCTGTCTGCTTGCCATGGACTGTTTCTCCTCTGTGATGCCCCTTTGTCATACTACTTTGCCTTGGAGCCACCAACTATGGACTGAACCTCTGCAAACTGTAAGCCAAATAAACCTTTTCTCGTTTAACTTTGGGTTCAGGTATTTTTTTCTCAGCAATAAGAAAACTAACTAAGACAAATGGTATATGAATTTATCTTTTAACCAAGCAATCTCATTTCTGTGAATTCATTCTAAAGATTCATGGACAGAAACACAATGAGGTATATTATTAATCACCAGATTTTTTTCATTATCAAACATTTGGAAACAATGCTAATGTTCACAATGACAGAGAGAGTGAGTGAGTGAGAGAAGTTCACTCTGCTGAAAAAGGACTAAGGAGCACTTTTATATATTGCTATGGAGTGATTCCAGTGTAATGCAATGTCAAGAAGAGTACACAGCATGCTATCAATTTAAGAAAGGGTGACATGAATATGTGTGTGTTGCTCTATGTTGGGTATTGTGGCTTCCCTCACCAAATCTGTGTGGTGAAATCTAACCAACATGATGGCATTTGGAGGGGTTCTTGGGAGCTGACTGGATCATGGGAGTGAAGCCTTCATGAATCGGATAAAAAACCTTATCAGAGAGGCCCCCAAAGTCTTCTCACCCCCTCTACTATGCAAGAAGGTGCCACCTCTGAATCAGGAGTCAGAGCCTTTCCAGACCCCAGTCCGACCAGAACCTGCATGATGGACTTCTAGTCCTAAGGGCTGTGAGCAGTGCATTTCCATAAACCATCCGGGCCTGGCCATTTTGCGGCAGCAGCCTAAACACACGAACAGAGAATTATATTTGCTTATATTTTAAAAAGAGAAGACTTGAAATAATAAAAATATGTCTACTTCCAGGAAGAGAAAGGATCAGGGCAGAGGGGACAGGAGGAAGAGGTAGGCTTCTCATGGGGCCTCCAGTTAGTAGACACGACGGCAGCCATGCAAATATTTTACATAATTATACAAAATTAGTTATAATTATATAAAATTAACAATAAGTAGTAATAAATTATATAATTATGTATTGAAATCATATAATTATATGTAAATTTTTTAAGAGCAATCCCCAATAATTATAGCCAAATTGAAATAAATAAACCTCTTTGCATACCAAGTTGGCAGATCGGCGAATGGCAGGTTCTCTCGGCCGACTCTAAAAGACAGTTATTTGACTGTACAGGCCTAATAACTTACACAGAAAGAAAGAAAAAAACTCAAAAAAAATTGAAATGATTTTAGTAATGCTAATGTTGCCAGGAGTGGTTCTGTTTTTGTTCAGAGAGTGTTTTGTGCATACTGTGGGACGATGAGATGACTGCTTTGACAGTGGGAGCTGGCTTTGGGATGCAGTGGATGCAGGCAAGATCGACAGCGTTCAGCTGAGCGCCTAGAAGTCAGTTTAAACTTAGGGTGCGTTTTATCTTTGCGTATGCGTATTCCCTAGACCTGTTCAGTGAAAAGACCCGGAAATAATGATGACCGCAGGAGGGACAAATGCCCCTGGAACACAGTAGGTCTCTACGTCATTTTCCTCCAAAATGAATTCCCTGGAGAAATTGCTCACCTCCTGTCTGGGAGTGGAGCTGGCCCAGATGATGCAAGGCATTTTCTCCCAACAGAAGAGGAGGATGCGAGCGAAGCTGGCCAAGGTGTTGCAGTGCAGACCCCGGAAGCAGCGTGATGGGCTCCACCCCAGGACGGCTGGCTTCAGCCTCAGTAAGAAGAGTAAAGGCAACGGATTAAAACATGAGTTTGACAAGTTAGAGTGGTACCGCACGAAACCTAAACTGTTCACATCTCAAGGATCCTAGGAAGCCAGCTTACTGTTTTGAAATTTGGTTTAAAATTTCAAACTTGAACAGATCAAGCCATTAGATCTGGCTATCAATTTATGGGAAATACAGAGATGGAAAGAATACAGGGCTGTGTTTCAGGACATGTGGAGACATTGCTTCTTGGCCTTTTGGCTAAGATCAAGTGTAAAAGACACAATTAGCAAAATCCAGATTGTGGGAAAGTTTTTGGACAAATGACCTGACTTTGTTAATAGTAGTTTAAGAGATCATCGATCACAGATGAAGAGGCTGTAGAAAGATATCAATCAACTGGGACAAAAGCTCCACTGACTTGAAGCGTCTGGATTGTCAGACAGTGTCTTCAGCACTGCGAGGGGAGGCAGGAGGGTCCTCGATGTGGAAGGGATGAATGCTGCCATGCAAAGACAGCTTGCCAGCCACTGCTGGCTGAGATGATGGAGGAGGCCGGAGGCCCAGGATGTGGGCCACCTTTAGAGGAGGGAAAGCTGTCCTGCATGACTTCTTCAGAGGGACGCTGATACCTGGATATTAGCCCAGGAAGGTCATTCAGGCTATGAACACTGGAATCAAAAGATAAAAAGACTGTTACTTAAGCCACTTGAGTTTGTGGTGCTGTGTAAGAGCAGCCATGAGGAACTAATGCAAAGGCCAGCCGGTATCCTCTCAGGCTACCTGTAATGCATGAGAATGTCTTCCTAGAGTGGCAGAAACAGGTTTGCAAGATCTGCCTCTGTTCCTGACTGTATCGGTCTTCTATGCCGACAAATCGCCAGAAAATTAGCAGCGTGACATAGCACTGCACATGACCTTAGGGTCCCGTGGGCCAGGAGTCTGGATGGGGTTTTGCAGGGTCTCCACTCAGAGACTCACAAGCACACAGCCAAGGCCTCCCTGGGCCAAGTTCTCCCCAGCAGACCCTGTGGGGAGGGATCCATGTCTGAGCTCGCCGGCACGGAGTTGGCTGCATTCACATTGCGTATTGTAGGCCCGAGGGCTCTGGGTGCTTCTAGCTGTCAGTGCCTCAGTCTCAGCTGCACCCCCTCTTCTCTGCAGTGTGATCTGTTGTGGAGACAGCGCTCCCCATGGCTGCCTCCCCTCTCCAGTCTGTGCAGGGTTAACTGACCAAGGGAGGGACATCACCACCTTTGCACATGATGAGGCCTAGCAGCAAGACGCTGGCTCTCCCAGAAGCAGATGAAGGAGATTGTGGACATCATGATACCAAGGGACAGAGACCGTGGACCTAGACTGCAGCTCGCAGAATAACCTGTCTGTCATGTGGCTGACCAGAGACATCTGACGAGAGGGTGGTGAGGTGCACACAAGCTGCTTATTTTTAAACATTTTATTGGTAAATGTTTGCAGTTGTCACTACATTCCTCACAAAGAACTGGTGCGTGTACATAACACATCTTAATTTTTCTTCCCCGTTCCCTTGCTTCGCTTCCTCCTCCATTTCCTTCCTAGTCCTCTTCCCTTTTGCACAACATGTCATCTCCTATTTTCTATGATCTATCTTTTATTTTGCTCTTTATTTATTTGTTTTTATTAAAAAATTTTGTTTTGGTACTGTGGATCAAACTCAGGCCCTTGTGGTTGCGAGGCAGGTGGCGGAACCACTGAGCCAAATTCCCGGCCTTGTTTTGCTCTTTATATAAGGTTGCTTGTGTAAGAGAAGCCATGCAATGTTTAAGCTTGTGTGTCTGGTCTGATTCATTTTATGTATCATGGTGATCTCGAGGTGCATCCATTTTCCTACAAACGACTCCAGTTTATCCTTCTTTATGACAGAGCAGTATTAGGTATAAATGTGACATTTTCTTTGTCCATGCATCTGTGGGACATATAGGCTGCTTCCAAGATTTAAGTGTTATGAATTGTGCTGCTATAAACACAGATATGCAAGTATCACCGTAATAATATGTCTTTAGCTCTTTCAGGAAGATATCTAGAAAGGGAATGGCTGGGTCTAATAGAATTTCTATTGTTAGTTTTTTTTGGTTTTTTGTTTTAGTAAGCTTCTTGCTTTTTTTTGGAGCAAGCTTCTTGCTTCTTTCAAGTGGTTGTATGAATATACATTACTACCAAAAACGTAGAAGTGTTCCCTTTTCCCTGCAGCCTTACTAGTGTTTGTTATTATTTGATTACTTGATGATAGTCGTTCTTTCTGGAATGGCTCTGGTAGAATCTCAGTATTGTCTTAATTTGAATTTTTCTAATGGTCAGAGATGTTGAACATTTTCTCATGTATTTATTGCCCACTTGTACTCCTTCCAGAAAGTATCTACACATTTCAGTTGCCCAGTTTTTGCTTGGGTCTTTCATTTGGGGAGTTTAAAAAAATTTCTTTTAGTTCTTTATATATTCTACACATCAGCCCTGTTATAGCTCATTCCAAAGCCTTGTGTGCTTATAGGTGGGGTTTTGGGAGGTGGCTAGATCATGGGTGTGTGACACTGGATTATAGGTGTGTGAGATTTGATCAGGCCACTGATTGGTGTAGCATAGTTACAGGTGGGGATGGTGGACTCACTGAAGAGGAAAGACCCACTCTAGGTGGGGTGGCACCAACCGATAGGCTTGTAACCCTGATGAAATAAAAAGGCAAAGAAAAAGGAAGTCTCTCTGTTTCCTGCCTACCATGCCGTGGACTGTTTCTATTCTATCACCAGTTTGATATATACATAGGTATATATGCCCAGTTAATATCAGAACAATTAAATTAGAGTAACTAGGGAGTCATTCTGAGCACACACCTATATTTGAAGCCCCCTGCCACACCATATGGTTCTACCATATTATCAAAGTTGTGATATTATTTCCCAGGGGGAAGAACCACTTTATTCTAGTGGTTAGAACCCAGCTAAGTGGTCCTGGGGCCCAGGGTGCAAAAAGCTCCAAAACTAGTGGAAGGGATGATGAGGAGGAGAAAGCACTATCACAGACAGGAATTTAGGACAGAATTAGGAGGAAGTGGGTCCTGAGTCACTTGTTTCTTCTGTCCTAGGCACTGATTCTCCCAATGTGCAGCCAGCCCGTCAGATCCCATCAGGTGCCCTGAGACTTGTCTAGTGGGACAGAGAAACCTACCAGGAGTTCTCAGAGAGCCACAGTATTAAAGGACATGCAAACATTACATTTCTTAGAATTATTTTGATTGTGCTTTAAGTTTTAAGGGGTGTTTCACATTTTACATTACGCTTCTTTTGCTGTAAGTAGCAATGTAGGTATGGATGTGATGTTTGCTTATTGTGTTGGTTAATCTTGCCAACTTAACTGGATTAAGAAACTCTTGGTGAGGTAACTGCAGTGTGAGAGTACTGGTTCACAGCAGACTAGGCGATTCCAAGTGGGACCCTGGAGGAAGTGGGTCACAGAGGTGTGGCCTGGGGACTCTGTCCAGCCCTTTCCCTTGTGCTCTGCTTTGTAGCTCCCTGGAACAGGGCAGCCTTCCCTTGCCATGTGTCTGCCATGTTTCTGCCTTGGTGCCAGTGACCAGGGACCAACCTCTGAAACCATGAACGTGTCCTCCTTCAAATTGTTTATGTCACAGGGGCAGAAAGCTGATTCATTCACTTAGCCATTAACACAATTTTTAAATCTAAGAGCATTAAGGAAGACGCTGCATCAGGCAGGTTTTAGGACTTCACAAGAGCCCAGAATATGGTCCCGTAGCTGGAGAGTCCACACATGCTTGCCCTCCCTGTGTGGCCAGCCTCTGGCAGGTGCACGGGGTCATGAGGTGGCACTCTGTACTCCACACTTTCTAGCTCCATCTCTCCTCCTTTTCATCCTCTTCACTTCTTCTTTCTCCACCTTCTCCTTTTATCCTTCACCTCTCTAGACCTCTGCTGTATTTGTTCACTACTGCGTCCCTCTCACCCCCTCTTTACGCATAGCAGGACCTTGAATTACACAGAACAAAGGTGATCTGGTTGGCCGTGAGCTTGTTCGGGGACCATTATGCACCAGGGAAGCAGAGTCCTCCTCATGCCCTCTTCCACCTCTCAGGATTATTACTCTGTAGGCAGGGGTTACAAAGGCCCAGGAAGGTTAACGAGTCCAAATCACGCGCCTGAGTTGTGAATGACCTGCCTGATTGGATCATCTCACTCGAAGGATAAACTGTGCTGCTAATTCACCATGGAATCCTTTAGACTCAACTCTCAATCAGCGTTTTCCAAACGGGAGGCCTCCGGTGTGTTCTAGATATCCTTGAAGATTTGTTTCCTTCAGGCATGACTGGCATTGGTTTGAGAAACAGGCTTCCTCTGGCAGCTACTCAAAATTTCAGGGCTGTGGTTTTCTACATTTTGTCCTACCCTTTCCTGGAGTCAGAAGAACTTGTTGCCACTGGGGAGGGCTGGAGGGAACAAGAGAGGTAACAACAGTGGACAATCAAGAAAATTAAAACCTGTGCACATGTGTATGTTCATCTGCTCACCTTTATTATATCTCTGATGGATATAAAGGATATGCAGCAAACAATCTGCAAATTATAGGTTTATAATACTCTATTGTAAGTCTCACACACCTTAACTTCAGTATAACTTGCTGTTTCTCACAAAAATCTATTATCAGCTTTTAAAATTCCATCACCAACAATAGAATCATGTTACCAGGCTATGAATGAATGCTTGATTGATACCCAATTCAGCAAAGAATGGGGCTCAACAAACAATCGTGCTTCCAACCTAAATGAGGTTGATATTTTCATTTCTGTCAACTAGTAAGATGAAAGTAACATCCCCAAATCATGTCAAAACGTCACTCCTTTGACAATAATGTGAGCAACTTCCTTGCCAAAATAGATAATAGTTTACGAACCCTGGAAGAATTATTTCCTCAGTGTTTTTTTTTTCTTGTGCTATTCACAATACAACAACCACTACATG